TAGTAGGATTCTTAGAAATTAACTTGTTAACAATAATATCAGAACAAAATTCATTTAGTACTGTTTGTTTGAATCGATGTGTTAGGACTGTAACTGGTCAGTCTCTAATTGGCATATGTGCATATTGTGCCCATTGCCTCGATAAAGCCTTAATTCACTAGCATTATAAGCAAAGATGGATAGTGGCTAGCAGTGTGATAAGTCTTGTCGATTGAACACTATATTCGTTTACTAAGCTATTCTGGTAACCCACAGGCTAGAACTACTCAGCGACTTGAACACCAGAAAGAAGACGCAAGTATGAGAGAAAATACTTTAATCCAAGGTTCAATCCTGTACAGAAAATCATGGGTATTTATAGATGTTAGCGTCTGTTAAATCAACATCATATTTCAGCCAATCCATTAACGACATATCATGCTACCGACCACTAGTAGCACGCCAAGTTGGAACTCTCCAATGTTCCATCGTACTCGGATTGGCTGGGGCTCTTCGGCTCCTTTTTGGGCCTCTGGAGGCTCCGTCGAAGTTCTCCGGAAGCCGACTCAACACCTCCCTCCAAATAAGACTTTCTCTTCGGGTCTACTTGCAGCTTGGTAACAGGTTTTCTACGGCGTTCGGACTTCCTTGGTATCCCATGTCTATGGGTGTCTGTTGGGGTTCTTGCCACTGGAGTATCTGTAATTATTTCGAGCGGAAGCCTCACTTCACTATCTACGGTGTCTAGAATCCTTTTTTCTCTGTGTATTTGATTAATGTGTCTGATCCACGTTCCGAAAGTTCCACACACCTTGTATAGAACATTTCCCATTCTCTTTTCAATGACTCCAGGTTCCCAACGATTATTTTCGCTGTATGACTTGATGAGCACTTTATCACCGACGTTAAAACTCCGGATATTCTGATTTTATCTGCGTCCGACCATTGGTTTAGGTGGCAACATGGCGTCGAATACAGTTCGAATTTTTCTCCCGGACATCGCTTCAGCAGGGAATTTTCCATCTGGGACGATGTGATTAGGCGTAGTTCTATAAGCTCTTAAAAATTTCGTAATTACCTGACTTGTTCCCTCGCCTTCCCCTTTCAGCAGTGCTCTGTTCAATGTGCCGACGAAGCGCTCAGCCTGTCCATTTGATTAAGGGTGATAGGGTGGTGAGCGTATATGTACAATTCCATCAATGTTCCAGAAGTGCTTGAATGATTCAGCAGTGAATTGTGATCCATTATCGGTCACAAAGTCTCAGGAACTCCAAAGCAACTAAACAGTTCGGATAACTTGCTGATCGTTTCACTGGCTGTACAAGTTGCCATGGCATAGATTTGTGGCCATTTAGTAAATGCATCCACGATAATTAGAAACATTTTTCCTTGAATTGGACCAGCAAAATCTGCATGAATTCTTTCCTAGCGTCCTGCAGGCGTAGGCCAATACTGAGGTTCGCATTTCACAGGGTTTTTAGCGGCTTGAATGCATGATGGACAGTTACGGCATTTATTCTCGATATCTTCGTCCATCGACGGCCAATAAGCATAACTACGAGCCAACGATTTCATTTTATTGATTCCAGGATGGCCACTGTGAACTGCTTGAGAAACTTGTGACGTAATAACTTCGAGATAACAATTCGATCACCGAACATAATACATGAGTCAACAACCATTAGTGAGTCCCATCGACGAAAATATTGCAAAAGTTCTCCGCCAAGGCGATTGTTTGGAAATTTGGTCGAGAGATAGCATTTGACTGTGCTCAGTATCTTATCACTTTCAGTGATATTCTTGATAGTTTCAAAGGTTACTGGGAGTCCATTGATTGCGTCATATTTCAGCCAATCCATTAACAACATATCATGCTACCACTCCACTCATCTTCAGAGTCTCATCAACACCGGTGAGATAGTCAGACGGATCCTCAGTGCCGATCCACAAAGCTCACCCGATTTTTGCAGTTGGTGAGATGTCTGATTGTCGATGAAAGGGGAAGTACAGTATGCAGAGATTCAGGATTTTACTCCATGACTGTAAAGATTGTCACTCCTATTTAGTTCTACTGACGGTTTATGCTTAACTGAGTTAACATCTCTCAGCCATTGAAAAAATGTATTATAAGTATCAGCCAGAACACCACAAGTTCTGAATAGAACACCCTATCCATATCTCGACGAGAGTACCTGTCAATTAATACGTGCATCAAGCATAAGTGCGCAAGCACGATCCAGCACTCGCGAGATTCGAACCCAGGAACTGCCAGTCTCGAGCCAGAGCCCTTAACCGATAGACCACTGAACCGACATCCAACGGTGTTAATAGTAGGTCCTGGGTTCGAATCTCGCCAGTGCGGGATCGTGGATGCGCACTGCTGAGAAGTCCTATATGTTTTATTGGAGAATCATTATTTTTCCGAACGCCATCAAGACAAGTTGTCACTTTAAATGAAAAGGTTTGAATACCTCACTTCTCCATGCAGTTTGTGCTGATGTTGTTCAGGAAAACAACAGGAAACTATACAATGAAACCATTCAGCTCACAGAACGAAACTTCAACAAAAGACGTAACATGGATAAAATCAAGTCACATTGAGCAAAATGACAATAGATGTGCATACATAAAACAGATCGAGTTGTGAAAACAACCCCAAGAAATAGATTTAGGTTATTAAATTCGTATACGATTGATGGTTAGGTTACACTTTATTGTCAGTTCACTGTGCCAATATAAATCGATCATTCCTAATAGTTTATCGGATTAGTAATTCTGTGATAAACTCGTAGCTCTTCAGATGCTAGAAACGATTGTAATTCGAATTTTAAATTGATCAGAGTTATGTGTATAAAAGGATGGTGTTTAACCTTTTCTCTTAACTTGCCCAACCTCAAGTCCAATCAGTCAATAACCATCTTAATCTGACCAATATACATATAGCCCTCCAATTTCGAATACACCTCATACAATCATTATTCACATAACTTCCTAATATTATTATTTTAAATATTTGAACTCATTCCACTTACTACTGAATTTATATTGTGGGGAGTAGTGTAATGTCGTGTACTGTTACATCTACATCGCTTATTCTAGTTTCTGGATAAGTCAAGTCAGTTAACCATTTTGAGTCATGTTTTCACCTGGTTAATTATTAACCCTGACTACTTTCTTATATGAGCGTATGTGTGTTTATACTTCTTATCCTATTTATCACATGACTGTCATTTATTTTTATCTGACTGTAAATATTGATTTACGCTTGATAACAGTGGGTTGGCTTAACCACCATTTCCAATGTGTGTCATTTTTGCTTCGCTCGCTGGTATTTGCTCATAACTTTCTGGCCTGCGTTATTTGACAATATATATATATATATATATATATATAACCGGGTGCAATTAGATAAAAACCTTGAAACCTGCAAATTCGTTTTCGTTCGAGTTGACGCTGTCAAAAAGCCATTAAAACCACCATACGAAGGTCCCTATAAAGTAACCAAACGTACTCCCAAACATTTTATTACCATTCGAAATGGGAACAAAGAAACTATTTCCATTGATAGAATTAAACCAGCGTTTTACGAACCGACTCACCTTAAAGAAGTTAACATCGATGAACAACAACCCCTCCCTTCTGTTCCTGAGAAGCCAAGCGAAGAGGACAAGTTTCATCTTAAACCGTCTTTAACTCGCTCCGGTAGGTTGGTAAAGAAACCTAAGCGCTACGTACATTTCACCGACTAATGAAAATCGATTCAATTACACGCACTTTATTGTTGTTACTCAATTTTCTAATAAAAGCTATTTATTTTCCTTACATGCACATTTAATAATTACATTTATTTATTATCACTAGTTTTGCCAATTTTTTTTTAATAAGAAAAATTGCCATAGTAATAAACGAGTGAATGCAAACCAACTATTCATTAAATTCATCCATTTTTTTAATATTTTATGACTCTATTAACAGTTTCGCACATTTTATTATTATTATTAGCAAACCAAAACTTTTTAATGCTCGTTTTTCAGTTTCATTTTGCGTAGCATAGCCTATATTATTAACGTGTCATTTATTCCTATCTCCACAATTTTTTTTTCCGTTATTACAGTAAATACTATTTTATGTAAATTTATACACAATATTTCTCAATTTTTGTTGTTCATATTGTAATCAGTGTTACCTCCGGACACTCTGGGGGGAGCTATGTGGAGATAGGACCATAAAACCTATTTTGTAAATAATTTTTCATAGTTTACGCATGTATTTTCATATTCTGTACATTTAGCATTAAACAATTGTACTTGTTGTTTAAGTGTATTACTTTGAACACTTGTAACTTGACTTCCTTCCGTTTTGAGTACAACATATCGTGACACTGTTACTGCTCCTCATTAAATACACTCTAATTCACATCTGCATCGTTCTGCTATGTCTGCTAATATGTTAAATGAAATATTAATTGCATATCATCCACGTTTATAGACAATTGTGACATTCTTATTGAATTCTACGCTTGGTAAACCCACTAAATCTATATCGTCCATATTGGGATTACTAATTTTTTATAATTGTGGATTATTTGGACCAAACCCAGCCGAACACGCAATAGATTGAAGACTTAAGTAACGTCCCTTATTTTGTTATTTGTGTGTGTAATTAACTTATTAACTGTTAATTGTTACATAAACTATAGACATAATATTTTTGTTGTTAATTTTTGGTTATCATAAATTTTGGTCAACCACAAACTCATCATATCCATAATCTTCATCATGCGTTTCAACATCATCATCTTCACAAACCTCATCATATCCATATTCCTCATTATCCACTTCATCATTTTCATCATCATCATCACAAACCTCATCATATCCATATTCCACATTATCTACTTCATCATTTTCATCATCATCTTCGTTACAAAGCTCATGATATCCATAATCTTCATCGACCGCTTCACCATCATTACCATCATCATCATCGTCACATAACTCATCACATCCATAATCTTCATCATGCGTTTCATCGTCATCATCATCATCATCATCATCATCATCATCATCATCACATCATCATCATCATCATCATCATCATCATCATCATCATCATCATCATCATCATCATCATCATCATCATCATCATCATCATCATCATCATCATCATCATCATCATCATCATCATCATCATCATCATCATCATCATCATCATCATCATCATCATCATCATCATCATCATCATCATCATCATCATCATCATCATCATCATCATCATCATCATCATCATCATCATCATCATCATCATCATCATCATCATCATCATCATCATCATCATCATCATCATCATCATCATCATCATCATCATCATCATCATCATCATCATCATCATCATCATCATCATCATCATCATCATCATCATCATCATCATCATCATCATCATCATCATCATCATCATCATCATCATCATCATCATCATCATCATCATCATCATCATCATCATCATCATCATCATCATCATCATCATCATCATCATCATCATCATCATCATCATCATCATCATCATCATCATCATCATCATCATCATCACCTTCACAAACCTCATCATATACAAAATCTTCTTCATATGCTTCATCATTTTTATCACCATCATCATCGGTACAAAGCTCATGGTATCCATAATCTTCAGCAACCGATTCATCTTTATCATACTCATCAACATCATCGTCATCATCATTATCATTATCACCAACATCATCAGCAGCAGCAGCCGCATCGTTATAATCATCAACTTGTAACACAATATATTTTAATATCTCTATAAGTGATATTATCACCAATATGAAGAACATATTTAACGTGATATGTGGAATAATTTCCTCAATCATTGACCAAAATAGTGCCAGCATCACTGAAAGAATAATATTGAATTTGATGAACTGCATAGTTGCAATATTTTCGATGAGATCGGAAAAAGAAGAATAACAGCCGTCCATCAGCTGTCCTACGCTCAACTGATTTTTCTAACTGTTGCATGCTTATTAATACATTCAATTTACATTTGAATTTACACGATCGATACGATTGAATTGAATGCTAATCAATTAGCTGTATATTGATTGATCGATAGACCTTTGATTTAGTCTGTAAATATGATAATAAAAATAATGCGACAAACAATGGTCAGACGTGTAATTAGAGTTAATTTGTATGCGACTCCTGTTGGTGTTTCTGTGCTTTATTCCAAATCTCCACTATTCATATATTGGCAAACAATCTGACTAGTAGCACTTATCATCACACGCAGCTATCAAATTTTTAAGTAAAGCATCACATTCTTCTTCGGAAGCTAATAATCACGTTTACACTTTCAGCCTTCCCGAAAATTCCAAATCTAGTATTGACTATTCTGTTTCATTTATGTAAATTTTATAGGGAATGTTTAAACTGAAATCACCGGTAGAATACTTCCTGCTGTAATATACTACTTTTACATCATATGATTAGGGTTGTGGAATTAGTGTAGCTCCTGTTGACACCGCTTTATCTCCAACATCAATAATGCTTCGACTTTTGTTGTAGGCATCAAAAATCAACCTGAACATCATCACAGGGGAAGATATTTTCGAATATTCTGTTTTCTGGAGATTCTTGATAGATCTCACTGACTATTTCTATCAGTTATTGTGAATACTCTGTGTAAGCTTATATCCCTCACATTGACGATAGTCTATAGAAACTCATTCTTCATCCTTCATTATTATGAAGAGAATTGTAATCTATGTCAGCCTTCAGCGTCTTCATCTGAGATGTAATATTTTCAATAAGAAAATTTTCCGAACATTCTGAGATACTGTGTGATTCCTCATTGAATAGTACACCTGACCTAGATCACTTTCACCTAGTACTTCCAATTGAAACGATATGCAATATAGTAAAATATGTCAAATAGACGATCTCGTACTCCGATGATAAAACATAATCTATATTCCATTGGATAGGTTGCTTTTTATGAAACCACTTTTGGTTACGCCTCTGTTTTTTTTCTTTTTGTAATTAGTTTTCTTACTATTTGCACTTTTCATCAATTCAATACAATTTGTACAAGTGCAAATAGTAAGAAAACTAATTACAAAAAGGAAAAAAAACAGAGGCGTAACCAAAAGTGGTTTCATAAAAAGCAACCTATCCAATGGAATATAGATTATGTTTTATCATCGGAGTACGAGATCGTCTATTTGACATATTTTACTATATTGCATATCGTTTCAATTGGAAGTACTAGGTGAAAGTGATCTAGGTCAGGTGTACTATTCAATGAGGAATCACACAGTATCTCAGAATGTTCGGAAAATTTTCTTATTGAAAATATTACATCTCAGATGAAGACGCTGAAGGCTGACATAGATTACAATTCTCTTCATAATAATGAAGGATGAAGAATGAGTTTCTATAGACTATCGTCAATGTGAGGGATATAAGCTTACACAGAGTATTCACAATAACTGATAGAAATAGTCAGTGAGATCTATCAAGAATCTCCAGAAAACAGAATATTCGAAAATATCTTCCCCTGTGATGATGTTCAGGTTGATTTTTGATGCCTACAACAAAAGTCGAAGCATTATTGATGTTGGAGATAAAGCGGTGTCAACAGGAGCTACACTAATTCCACAACCCTAATCATATGATGTAAAAGTAGTATATTACAGCAGGAAGTATTCTACCGGTGATTTCAGTTTAAACATTCCCTATAAAATTTACATAAATGAAACAGAATAGTCAATACTAGATTTGGAATTTTCGGGAAGGCTGAAAGTGTAAACGTGATTATTAGCTTCCGAAGAAGAATGTGATGCTTTACTTAAAAATTTGATAGCTGCGTGTGATGATAAGTGCTACTAGTCAGATTGTTTGCCAATATATGAATAGTGGAGATTTGGAATAAAGCACAGAAACACCAACAGGAGTCGCATACAAATTAACTCGAATTACACGTCTGACGGTTGTTTGTCGCATTATTTTTATCATATTTACAGACTAAATCAAAGGTCTATCGATCAATCAATATACAGCTAATTGATTAGCATTCAATTCAATCGTATCGATCGTGTAAATTCAAATGTAAATTGAATGTATTAATAAGCATGCAACAGTTAGAAAAATCAGTTGAGCGTAGGACAGCTGATGGACGGCTGTTATTCTTCTTTTTCCGATCTCATCGAAAATATTGCAACTATGCAGTTCATCAAATTCAATATTATTCTTTCAGTGATGCTGGCACTATTTTGGTCAATGATTGAGGAAATTATTCCACATATCACGTTAAATATGTTCTTCATATTGGTGATAATATCACTTATAGAGATATTAAAATATATTGTGTTACAAGTTGATGATTATAACGATGCGGCTGCTGCTGCTGATGATGTTGGTGATAATGATAATGATGATGACGATGATGTTGATGAGTATGATAAAGATGAATCGGTTGCTGAAGATTATGGATATCATGAGCTTTGTACCGATGATGATGGTGATAAAAATGATGAAGCATATGAAGAAGATTTTGTATATGATGAGGTTTGTGAAGGTGATGATGATGATGATGATGATGATGATGACGATGAAACGCATGATGAAGATTATGGATGTGATGAGTTATGTGACGATGATGATGATGGTAATGATGGTGAAGCGGTCGATGAAGATTATGGATATCATGAGCTTTGTAACGAAGATGATGATGAAAATGATGAAGTAGATAATGTGGAATATGGATATGATGAGGTTTGTGATGATGATGATGAAAATGATGAAGTGGATAATGAGGAATATGGATATGATGAGGTTTGTGAAGATGATGATGTTGAAACGCATGATGAAGATTATGGATATGATGAGTTTGTGGTTGACCAAAATTTATGATAACCAAAAATTAACAACAAAAATATTATGTCTATAGTTTATGTAACAATTAACAGTTAATAAGTTAATTACACACACAAATAACAAAATAAGGGACGTTACTTAAGTCTTCAATCTATTGCGTGTTCGGCTGGGTTTGGTCCAAATAATCCACAATTATAAAAAATTAGTAATCCCAATATGGACGATATAGATTTAGTGGGTTTACCAAGCGTAGAATTCAATAAGAATGTCACAATTGTCTATAAACGTGGATGATATGCAATTAATATTTCATTTAACATATTAGCAGACATAGCAGAACGATGCAGATGTGAATTAGAGTGTATTTAATGAGGAGCAGTAACAGTGTCACGATATGTTGTACTCAAAACGGAAGGAAGTCAAGTTACAAGTGTTCAAAGTAATACACTTAAACAACAAGTACAATTGTTTAATGCTAAATGTACAGAATATGAAAATACATGCGTAAACTATGAAAAATTATTTACAAAATAGGTTTTATGGTCCTATCTCCACATAGCTCCCCCCAGAGTGTCCGGAGGTAACACTGATTACAATATGAACAACAAAAATTGAGAAATATTGTGTATAAATTTACATAAAATAGTATTTACTGTAATAACGGAAAAAAAAATTGTGGAGATAGGAATAAATGACACGTTAATAATATAGGCTATGCTACGCAAAATGAAACTGAAAAACGAGCATTAAAAAGTTTTGGTTTGCTAATAATAATAATAAAATGTGCGAAACTGTTAATAGAGTCATAAAATATTAAAAAAATGGATGAATTTAATGAATAGTTGGTTTGCATTCACTCGTTTATTACTATGGCAATTTTTCTTATTAAAAAAAAATTGGCAAAACTAGTGATAATAAATAAATGTAATTATTAAATGTGCATGTAAGGAAAATAAATAGCTTTTATTAGAAAATTGAGTAACAACAATAAAGTGCGTGTAATTGAATCGATTTTCATTAGTCGGTGAAATGTACGTAGCGCTTAGGTTTCTTTACCAACCTACCGGAGCGAGTTAAAGACGGTTTAAGATGAAACTTGTCCTCTTCCATTGGTTTCTCAGGAACAGAAGGGAGAGGTTGTTGTTCATCGATGTTAACTTCTTTAAGTTGAGTCGGTTCATAAAACGCTGGTTTAATTCTATCAATGGAAATAGTTTCTTTGTTCCCATTTCGAATGATAATAAAATGTTTGGGAGTGCGTTTGATTACTTTATTGGGACCTTCGTATGGTGGTTTTAGTGGCTTTTTGACAGCGTCAACTCGAACGAAAACGAATTTGCATGTTTCAAGTTTTTTTATCTAGTTGCACCCGGTTGTTATGTTGTCGCGGTGGTATTGGTTTAATATTCTGCATCGTCTGTAATAAGCGGCTTGCAAAACGGGAAGGATCCCCTAACGTTGTAGATTCGTAATTGACTAATTGGCCTGGTAATGTTAATGTTGTACCGTAGACTAATTCGGCAACATTGCATCCAATGTCTTCTTTAATAGTGGAATGATTACCCAGGAGTACGAGTGGTAAGGCATCACTCCATTTGGTAGGATCAGCTTGAGTCGTCAGCGAGCTTTTCAATTGGCGATGAAATCTTTCAACCATGCCATTAGCTGCTGGATGGTAAGCCGTTGTTTTGATGTGGTTGATGTGGAGTCTGGTGAATTCCTGAAATAAAATGGATTGAAATTGGGGGCCACGATCAGTAGTGATAATTGCAGGTACTCCGTAGTTCGATATCCATCGGTCGAGAAAAACTGATGCTACAGTCTCAGCTGATGTGTCTTTGATGGGGCATGCAATCGCCCATCGAGTGAACCTGTCCACCACAGTGAGAATGTGAGTGAAAGAGTTTGAAGGCGGCAGGGGGCCAACTAAATCCAAGTGAATATGTTGAAAACGTTTGTCAGAGATAGGAATCTCCCCAATGGGACTAATAGTATGTTTTTGGATCTTACTACGTTGACACTGAAGGCAACCACAAAACGTCAGTTATCAGCTTCGTAGTTGCTCGGATGCCCGGATGTGATAAAGCATGAAAGTGTTGGAATAACTGTAGTCGACAAGCCTGAGGGACAAAAGGGCGATT